GAGCGTGCAAAGTGTGCTTGCTTTACGTTAAAACGCTTAAATGGAATCAGGGTAACGGAGAAGCAGGTTTCACCCTGTCATTGCTCGTAATAGAAAAATCCCTGCGCCTTCATAGTTTTGCCCAGTTAAGTGTCCTTTTTTGGTGTCTCCTTTCTCTCCCTCTGCTGAGCAGATTGAGATGGGTACCACTGGCTGGAAATTGAAAACCTTCCATTTTCACGTAAATTACAGGTCAAATCTGTGTAGTGCATCACCGCCCTTCACAGTAAATCACATATAAAACTAAGTTATGCCCCATTTAAATGACAAAAGGATTCTTGGACTACGTGATAGCTCTTTCCAGTAGTAGCCGAATAAAAGAAGAAAAACTAATAAATAATTAAGGCGGTAGTATGTTTGACCACCTTTTTTTTAGTATGACTTTTTTTCTGTTATCATTGTAACAGAAATGCTCCTTTCAGAGACAACTAAAGCACTAATGATAGCTAAGAAGGTCATTCCTGGGAGGTTAAAATGGTTTAATTAGAATTTATGAGGAGGTTACTGTAAGAGTGCAGAGAGATGTTAAGGGGTTAACCTATAAGAGATTACATTGTAGTCAGTGTTCTGTTAAAGTTTGAATTAATTTTTCCCATGGGTTTTTCACATTCTAATTTTCAACTAAATGAGACATCTGTTTCAGAAAAGGAAAATTTGCTATGGTTGTCATAGCAACTATCATTCTGTAAGAAAATTATTCCAATGGTTACTTTAGAAGAGAAAGATAGAAATTCCGTACATAAAGCAACATCCGATTGCTAGCACAAATTCTGATAATTCAGCCCTTTTTCGATGGTAGATTATTTGACCTGCAAAATTTGTTCATATGTTTTTAACATAAGGTTAATTGTGCTGTAAACAAATTCACTTCCAATGTATTTTCCCCCTCGAGTCTTCTGTGTAGACAATCATTATTCTTATAACAATAGAAATATCGCTGAATTTCAGTAGTGTGAAGAAACTCAAACTGCTCGCTTTAAGAAGATAAGACCTAAAGCAAAGTATGTTTCTACACAGGAGTGAATGTATTTCACTTTAGAGGTGAAATACACTCATGATGTATGTCTTTAATTGCCAAATGTATTTTTCTTGGGTTTTTTTGAGAACAGCAGATTTTTCTTTTATGAAACATAAATGACAGTATTTTCTCTGTAAAATGTAAACTATTATTGAAAAATAAATTATAAAAAAACTACACTTCCCCGAGCAAGCAGGAACTGGGGATCCACAGATTCGGTGCTTGATATGAAGACTTTAACTTTGCTTCCAGGTTCCATCATAAATGGCAATTTTAGACAAAGTTGTCTTTGCACAATGTCCAGGTCACAGACTTGTGAGTGGCTATTAGAGGAGATTTTTTTTCTTTACTTAGAAACTTTGGTAGCTGTTTTGCAATAAATTTTCAGAAGAGGGGACTTGGGGATTTATAAAATCCCCGTGTGCATATAAAGATGGTTTTGCTTTGGGGGTGGGGGCAGTGAAGTGTGTGATTTGTCTTTCTTCTCTCAGATGCGAAGCAAACCAACGTCCTCCGCTGAATCCTTGCTTGGACTTCACATTCTTTTTTGCCAGAAATATCCCAGACGTTTCTCCGGATCTCGGGACTGTCACAAAAGACGGCATAATGGCAAAGCACCCAAGTTGTAACATCTCCCCTTCACAAAAGAAGGGCTCTGGCATGCATAACTTACCAGCCCTGCGCCCAGGCGCTGCGCGCTGCACTCACCACAAAGGCAGGCAGGGACGGGGAGGGGGGGAAGTGCTTCTTGTCTTAATAAGCAGATAATGCCTATTCATAAAGGGGAAACAGGCTTTTTAAAAAGCCGCCATGTACAGGCCGGCCCTCGTAGAGGCAGGCAGAGGCTCTCCCAGCTGCATGTGCCATTCGTGGTCATTTGGATTGCAGCAGGATCAAACTGACTTCTGGTGCAACCTGTGACAGTGATAGAATCATAGAATCATACAGCCACAGAATCACAGAACGGTTTGGGTTGGAAGGGACCTTAAAGCCCATCCAGTTCCAACCCCCCTCCACTAGACCAGGTTGCTCCAAGCCTCATCCAGCCTGGCCTTGAACACTTCCAGGGATGGGGAATCCACAGCTTCTCTGGGCAACCTGTTCCAGTCAGGATTATTTCTCTTTGCAAATGCTTCATTGTATACTTAAAATGATTATTCCCTAGGTTTTTGACCTTTTCTTTTTGGGCAATTATTCATCTTTCCCCCGGGTGTCTTCCTGCTGTGTCCGGCGCACCTGCGGGGAGTGGGATGGTGCCTCGTCTCGCGTCCCACACAGGACTTGGGGCGATCCTGTCCGTGCCCAGCAGCACCGGGCCGAGCGACAGGTGGGAGCCAGGGGCCTGTGTTCACTGCATCCACCAGTAGCTTTAAAAGCATGGCTGACGGTGCTGACACTTCCTTCGCCTCCTATTTGTCCTTGCAAATACTTTCTGTCGGTGAGATTTTTGCTCCTGGAAAACTTGCTCTGGGCCTAAAGATAGTTTGCCAAACAGTTGAGTATTTCTGTCTCGGTGAAGGAAGGTACTTGGCATGGTAAGGTATGGAACGCAACCCCAGTGGAGTTTAGAAAAAGCATAACCTTTGTATATTTTTATAAAGCCTCCCACTTGTGTAATATCCGAGCACCTCGCAGACTGCAGTTTATTTATTTTCAGGTCATTCCTGTGCGATAAAAATACTCCCATTCTGTCAGTGGTGAGCTGAACGTAAAGACAGGCTGATCAAGCTCCGCAGGCTGGGAGTTGGTTGTGTGTGACAGTGCTACACGGTAACGTCACTTACTGCAGAATAAGCCAGGAACTGGAATCAGAGAATCTGTAGGTTGGAAAAGACCTTTGAGGTCATCGAGTCCAACTGTTAAACCCAACCCTGCCAAGTCCACAACTCAACCGTGTCCCTAAACACCACATCTGCACGTCTCTTAAATCCCTCCAGGGATGGTGACCCTACCCCCTCCCTGGGCAGCCCGTTCCAATGCCTGACAGCCCTTTCCATGAAGAAATGTTTCCTAATATCCAATCCAAACCTCCCCTGGTGCAACTTGAGGCCGTTTCCTCTTGTCCTGTCAGTTGTCACTTGGGAGAAGAGACTTCAGGTGCCTGTAGAAAGCGATAAGGTCTCCCCTGAGCCTCCGAACGAGCGTGAGTTACCACCCCAGCAGTAGGCAGGTGAGAAGCCATGTACCTGTGAGCCAGGTGCTGTTCTCTTTATGAGGAGAGTCTGCTGGGAGTGGATCAGGTAACCAGAAAAGTGTGATTTCATGTCCCTGATAGAGGGAGGTCTTTTTCTTAGCCAGCCACCTTGGTCTGAGCAACCTGACTCAGAACAAGGCTCCCACTTCATTGCTACTGCTATTAGCATCTCTTCTTCACACACCTTCCTCACCTCCCTCGTCGCAGCTTCTGGAGGCTGCGATGTGTTTCTGGTCCCAACGGCAGATGTACGGAGTTTCACCTTTTTTTTTTTTTTTCCTGGGACACCTGTTTATCCAGACCCTGGTTATCCAGGACACGTGATGAAGAGCTAGAAGATGAGCTCTTAGCTGTGGACACAGGAAGCGTTTCAGTCATCTTGTCTAGAGTAGTTGTGGCTCTTTGTGTCTGTGGAAGAAAGGCAGGAAACCTGCTGCAAAGCCCCCTTCTTTCTTTCCTTTTACCAGAATTTTCCTCTTCCCTCGGGTAAGCCACATCCCTGTGTATTTTAGCTCTGTGTTTTTAGAGCTGTTTTCAATAGGCATGTGCTTTACAGCATTCTGAAAGGAAAAGTGGAAAATATATCATCATGAAGACGTGCTAATTTTTGAAATGTTAGTCAAGCATCAGTAGTGGAAGAGGATGAATAATAGCTCTATGGGCATTTTCTTTTGTCTTTGCCATACGTAATGTAAAGTGGAGTTCAGAGAATTTCTTTAAAGAATTCTTACGTTTTTTGATGCAGTGAGGGAGTGTAAAGCTTTCTTCAGCAAAGTAGCATCTCAAAGGGAACTCTGGTTGATGTGCATGTATTTGTAAACACTAAGGCTGCTATTATCATAAAGCTTATTAAATCACAGCAGCCTATTTGTTGTTCTCCAAATATGGATATGGCCAGAAGACGTCAGTCAAAAAATCATTAAAAAATTCCAACCTAAAACTAACCCCTCATTTTTATGACCTAGAATTAGAGCATAGTCAGCAAGACATAATTTACCACTGTGTTATAATTGCTGTGAAATACAGTTTTTTATTCATGGGATAGAAAGATACAGATAAATTGTGTTCTGACTGACAGTGTTACAGTCTCGCTGCTCCGTGATGAGCTGCTCCATAAATACGTTTTAAAAAATGTAAATGCCTGTCTGATAAGAAAACCTGAATATGGGAAGTCTTACTTAAAAGCAAGTCAACACACCCGAAAATGCTGTGTAAGAAAAGAATCAGTATTTTTGTTCTGATGGGATGCTTCCAAAGAGGGAAACAAAGCAGCATAGACGATGCCTCTGACTTTGGAGCAGGATCTGTCGTTGTGCCAGGGCCTGTCCCTGCCCAGCTGGTCACAGGCTGAGGGCCAAACGTGACGGGAGCCAATGTGAAACATCTACCCGCAGCCAGGTACCTGAGACTGGTGTTCTTCTAGGTGCTGTGGGAGTCCGGCATGCTCATCCACACATGGAGATCCTGCTGTCCAGGTCTTGTAAGAGTTACTTTTCACCTAGTTAGAGGAATACTGCATGTTTTACTGTATGCTGCCTACTCAGAGTGGTAAGGACTGCACTGATCTGCCACGCAAGTTAAATAACGCTGATTGTATGGAAAGAGAGTTTTTACTGTGCACACAAAGAAGAAAATGAATGCTATTTGTGTCTCCAAATTCCATGCTAGTAGAGAGTCAATCTCCGTATTATAATTAGATAACCAGTACGTGGAAGTAGCACTGAAGACATTCTCCTCCTCTCTTGGCAGGCAACCTTGGTTTTATGGCTGGGGCTTTAATCTTCCACGAGGCCAAGCACTATTAGAGAAATGGAACCTTATTCCAGATGGAATAGATATTCTTATAACACACGGACCACCTCTCGGTAAGAAAATACTAGTGCTCTGAGCTGTGTATTTCAGATGATTATACAGTAACTGATGGCTCTCCTTAGACAAAGAGCGCAATCTGCACTTACGGAAGTCAGAAGTAACATCCGAACTGATTCCAGCAGCACCGGGACTTCAGCTCGGGTTTATATTTCATGGTTATCTATGCTCAGTGGTAGGGAATTAAATAATGGCTTACAAAATAAAGCCTTAACACGTACAGCTGTAATGAGCCTTATAAATAAGCAAGGTCTAGTTTTCCTATGCACCTGTGCGCTCTACTGCTGGTGAAATTAATAGACTTAAAGCGTGGAGCCTGCTTGAAGAGAAAAGCAGGACTGGGATCTTATTTTTTTAGCATGGTCTTTCACCCTCACTTGCATGGCATCCCCCCACCAAGCACCCAGAGTCCGGATTTTTCCTCATCATGCTGACTTGCTGCATCTTCTGCCTCACAAACACCAACGCTGCCATTGTTTGCCTGTGCTTTGGGCAGTGTGGGTGAATTGCCTGTCTGTAACAGTCTGGCAACACTAACAGACCAACAGGGAATAGTTTTGCATTTGTGTTTTACAGATATTAAAAGCCAGGAGAGATTTCTTGTATTCCTAGATAACAGTGAAATTGTGTTACAGAAATAATATAGTCACAGAAACTTCTCCAGATTTAGTAAAGGCTTAAGACTTTTAACATGTTTTTCAATGTGTTTAACATACAGCAAGCTCTGTGTTTAACCCTCACTAATTTAATGAATGGACACCAACGTAAAGCACATCCTTAAGTGCTGAGTCTTACTGGGGAGGAGTGCTTTGTGTGAAATGAAGGCAGTTGGTTTCTTTAAGCCTTTACATTCCCCTATTTCCTGAAGCTAAAACCCTCTTGTCTTCCACCCTTTCTTCTCCTCTTTCAGAGCTTGGAGGAGAAAGTATCTGAAGGGTTTGTGTTTTGTTGTTTTCTTTAGAAAGCCATGTTTGCATTCCACCGCTCACTAATCCTGGGGGAGAGGGCTGCTTTGTGAGCAGGGTTTCTCACAGTAAGGGCGTGTGTTTTGATACTTCACCTAAGTGGAGTCTCATGCCATGCCATGGACTGATTTTAATATGGACCTGTATCCTAAAAGTGGATCACAGAAACTTAATTGTTTAGCCCTTGAGGTATCAGCTCACGGTTAGTACTGGGGATAATCCCTGTTGGTTTCTGAAGCATGACGCTGGGGTTTTTTATATAGTTTCATTTATAAGCCTTATTTAAAACATTTTCAGAAGCCTTTAAAGCCGTGTTTTAAACCAGCTGATCAGCTGTAAAGAAATCCAACCTTCAGCTGATCTGAAGAATCTCCCTATATGTAGCACTTGAAATCCAGTGTTGGAAAGTGGAGAGAGGGGTGTCGCACCACCCAGCCTCAGCCACCTTGCTAATTTAGCCACCACACCTCCAGGCAGCCTCTGGATTTATCAGAAGGAGGAGAACCTCTAGAGAGCATTGCAGAGCTGGTACTCAACAGACATGCTTTAATAATAGCCTTAATAATAAATTTAATAATTGAAAAGTAATTTAATAATTATAGTAATTCTAAGGAGAAGCTGCCCATCTCCTCTGACTGCATTGGGATAACGTAAATTTTCCCCATTTCCATGGCTCAGTATCTCTTTTAATTTTTTTAGTTCTTAAGCCTCAACCATCCTCCAAGGATTTTCTTTCTTAAAAGTTCCCCTTTCTTTTGTCTTACTGATGCATTAATAGATGGCTCAGGCGCAGAGCCCTCCGCCTGAGGGCATCAGCTGTTGGTCTCCCTGACACCCATGGCAACAAATGCATGAGGCTTCAAAAGAAATTAGCACCCTGCCTAACTTACAGAACCTCCTTATTGTGTCGCTCCCTCCGCAGACCTTCTGGGAGACAGGATCCTCCTTGACTCTCCCAGCCAATTACTTTAACCAGCAAGCTGATTACTGTTGTTCTGATCTTGGACAACATCACCAGAGCTGTTCCTAATGATCATAAAGAGCAATCAGCGCTCTTGCAAATTCCCTTTTTTGCCCCAGCAAGGCTGCCTAAATTCTGTCCATCATCCCTTTTCTGTGCCGCTTTCTCATTCCCTCACTTCAAAAGAGCACGTACCCTCCTAAACTAATTAATGCTGCATTATTAGGTAGATCTAAAATGGCCTGCGTGATGTAGATGCAGAAGGACCGTTCAGAGTTGACAGACTTTGTGTTTCTGAGTCAGTTAGGCACATAACAAAAATCGGAGTAATCTTTCCTTTCTGTTTCAGAGCAGTGCTTTGGGATGAAACCAGGGCAGGGGTACACAGAGGATGAGAAAACAAAGGTTAAAAAGGCTACTATTGACCATTTTATTAGTAACCTGTCTGTTATTAAGAAAGATACGCCACATATTTCATAGCTTATGAAATGCAGTATTCGTGATTTATGGGCTCAGCGCTCATGTTCATTTCCTCATCAGCATGGTTTTACTACTTTTATGTGTAGTATAACTTTTAAAGTATTTTCCCTGAGTCCTAACTGCATTTATAATTCTTTTACTTCTCTTCAAAAAGTTCACTTTTCTTTTCTTTGTTTGTTTTTAATTTAATTTCACCTTTAAGTCTTCATTTGTAGCTGTCTGCTTGATTGTCTGTGACAAAGATTTATACTTTCCTGACAGCTGCAGAAACCTGTTTCAAGTAACCAAACATTAAAAAAACCCTAAGATGAACTCTAATTGTTAGCTAGGTGTAATCAATTATTCTTAGTTTGTGTAGTCAGGTGTACATAATAAGCTGCAAACATATGGGAAAGCTTCAGAAGGGTGATAATGCATGTAAACAAAAACATGTTCAACATAAATAATGCTTAATTTAATGGAGAAGTTAATTTTATGGGTTTTTGTTTGTGAAGTTTTTGAAGTGGAAATACTTTTGGCTCTATGATCACCACAGACATTTTGACAATTAACTGTTTCAAATCGTTGAGGTAGCAAAATCTGTGGTTGTAATACGTTTGCTCTGAAAAGAGCATCACTGGATTCCAGAGGAGTTGCTGGCCTCACTCTGCCATCCTAAATACTTATTGTTTCCTACAGTGAATTTTGACCTGTGTTGGATACCAAGAGTGTGAGGAAATCAGTTACCAGAACTGAGCGTTGCTCTGCTCCGTCTGTGGTTCAGCGGGGCTTTCTCTTTGCACATCCCACCGGCAGCAGCCAAGCAGCCTCTCCGGAGGCATCTGAAAGAATTAGGAGTCTGTGGTCGTTACCACAATTTCCTCTTTTTGACACTTCGGATGCCTCATTCCCAACTCACTGCTGGAAATTTGACTTGGCCTTCTGAGGAGCTGTGACACAAGGGTGAATTTTTGCCATTTCCGTAAAAGCTCACGGGATGCTGAGCCTGGTTTCCAAGCGTGAGCGTCTAAAGGGGTGTTTGTTGATGTGTGAGCCTACCCTGAAGCTCTCGCGAATCTGAGGGCTTTTCTAATAGCTTGAGTACTGCAGTCCTGGTCTTCAGAGCCAGCTGTTTAGCTGCTGTTTAGCCATGCCTGGGTGGACGTCTGAAGTAAAGACAAAAACTAGATCCAGTCTCTAGACCTGTCTGGCTGACTGCTCATGCCTGGGTGGATGGACGTCTGAAGTAAAGATGAAAACTAGATCCATTCTCTAGACCTGTCTGGCTGACTGCTGTGTTCTCAAAGGCACACGCTCTCCACGCTATTCCAGCCACACGGGCCCACGGGGAAAGTTCCAGAACAACTAGAGAAACCCAGAATGCTGGGATCTTTTAGGTTTGCAAATTTGAGCCTGATGAAAATGACAGAACAACAGGAAGATATCAAGATGGCTGGTTTCAAACCTCTTGATGCAGCAGCATTCCTCTTATGACCACTTTGAAAGAAACGTGGGGCTGCAGTTGGCAGTAAGCATCGCCCTGCAGCGTGGTTTTGGAGATGCAAGTCGGTGTACGCTTCTGCCGGCATTCATTAAAAAGGTGGTTTTGTGCAAGCTTCCTGCAAGTAAATACAGCCCTTAAAAACATTTACTGCAGAGGGGCTGGGTTTCTCTTCCTCTCTGAGCTCCATAGACATGGGCTGATGGGGCTTGCTGTGCCGTGAAACCAGTTGGACCTGAGGATGTTGGTTTTAGGCATGCTGTGGGCCCCTCACCCGAGTTCCACTACTGTGTGGTTCAGTATGATAACAATATAGTTTTATTATTGCACAGATTGCATTCCATCAGTTAAAAGTGTTCAATTCAGAAAACTAGATCCCAGGATTAGATGTAAATAGCTAAATGCTGATTTAGGTTCTTTAGAGACTCACTTTGGGCATACTGCTCTTCACGCCTCACCCTCTTAGAAGGGAGAATGGATAAAGCATTGAGCTTTCCCATCAACAGCACTGCAAAAATGCTTTGATTGCAGTATATATATACTTCTTTTTTGGCCTTGAAAAACAACTGGCAAGAGTTATCGTAGTCCTTTTTCTTTTGATGAGCTTTTATGGTTTTCCCCAAGTATTTTTCCCTCCTTCCTCTTCTGCTTACTAAGGCACTGTTTTCTTTCCATGAGAATTCTTCTATGGCTGCTTATGAAGAGCTGTGCGACACGAAATCTCAGAAATGCTGCACAGCAGTACAGCTTTGCGAATAGGCTGCCTTCTTTTAAAGCTTTCCTTTCTTTTCCAAAGGTTTTCTAGACTGGGTTCCTAAGAAAATGCAACGGGTAGGATGTGTTGAGCTGCTGAACACAGTCCAGAGACGAATACAGCCAAGGCTTCACGTTTTTGGACATATCCATGAAGGTCAGAACACATTTCTTTCTACATGTATTTAGAAACCACAGGCACAAAAGTTGTCTGGTTTGCCTAGCATTTTCAAATTTGAATGTCTGAACTGAAGCACTTCTGGAATTCAGATACTTATTTAGCTGCTTATATAGAGATGAAATTGGCCGATACCCACATGTCAATATTTGTTCTTCAGCTTCTCTTTCAGTTTCTACATCTGTAAAACAGGGTGATGCCTCCTTCACAGAGAGGATTACTGCGACTTTTAAAATAAGAACACGAGTCCAGTAGTTACAGAGAATGACTACATATTAGGATTGATGGATTGTATTTGCCTCTGTGGAATCTCTGTGACTTCAGACAATTTATGTAGCTTGCTGTGTCTCAGTCTCTGTGTTTGTGAAATGTGTAAGAATGCTGAGAGGGGAGCGTCTGAGGCTTAATCTTCAAGACTGTGCAATAAAGGCTGTCACTCCCCATCAGTGCACATACGAAGCTGCGGTCGGGAGGGGCTGTCGCCACTGACGTGTGTGGTTCAAGGTCTTCATTCGTGCGTTCGTTTGCTTTGGCAGGGGAAGCATTTTGTACCCTGGCAAAACAACAAAAAAATATGCCCCGCTGAAGTCGGTCACAGCAGTCCCTCTCCAGGCAAAGGGAAAGGTAGAAGCTGCCTGCCGTCGAGAAGGCTGTCCTGTCCACATCTCACGGCAGCAAGACTCCAAGCAGCGCCCCCCCCCAAAACAAACCCCGGGGCCGTGCGG